TATATATATATATATATATATATATATATATATATATATATATAAAATGATAGACTATACATTGAAAAGACCAAAAAAAAATAGTTAAGATTAAATTGTACATAACGAAAGGAAACAAAAAGTAATCTGTGCATAATTTTGTAGCAGCAAGCATACTTTCACTTTACATAAATGCGTGTTAATTTACAGCTAGTGTTGTGCTTCAACTGCTCTTATGCATTACTCAGTGAGTAATGAGTAGTGATTAATGATTAGATGAGTTTTATCCAACGGATACACTTTCACATTCTCATAATATATACAAGTAGTGCCTACAGAACTGTCCTAAGCGTACCATTCATCCATCCAACTATCACTCTTAACGTTGAGTTCAAATTGCAATTGCAATTTGAACTCTTCGACAAATGATGCTTTCTGCAAATTCTGAAGGCTGCTGCCACTATAATGTGTAATTTTATATCTATCTTTGTTTGTATATTTGCCATTTTAGCTAGATTAAGAGTAAGCTAGTTCATAATGAATTGATTGTTCGCTCTATGCTTATGCCAACAACAAACACTCTTTTCATCTTCTCTGAACGATTTCAGAGATCGATTAATTATTCCAAGTGAAAACATCGCGAAGCATCTTTACTGGAAACCAGATCATCTTGCCCCTGCCCACAGTGAACTTTCTCATTTAACACTTTTTCCTGGACAACATAAATTCATCACCATTAAACTTCGTCCATTTAATGGGACAACTTTTTTTGCTCTCAACAGGTTGTACAGTAGTGCAATTTGAGATTTTTAGGAGCTTATATCTTCCTTATATTACTTATGAAATCAATGCTTAAAACATGGATTCACTACGGTATATTACAATGCTTGATGATTAACAATGAAATAGATAAATTACAGATATGCAGAACGAGACTACACAATGGCCATTTATCATAGCAATAGCTTCGAAGAAGAAAACACATGTAACTTAGATGAAATGGATGAGTGGATCCCAGTGTTCATGTATCCAGCAATGCCTACTGTAGATTATCTGCAAAAAGAATCCCTTGGACCCGGCACATATAAGCTCCGATTTGGGAACGAGCAGGTTATTACCACCAACTCCAACACCACTGCTTCTCTCTGTTGTAAAACACATTCAATCTCTGCTTCTCACTGCTATAGTATATAAATGAAGTGCAATAAACGTACAAAGACAATAATTTTTTTGATCTAGCTGAATAAAGGTAATGATCTTTAGTATTTCAGGCTTGGATTCGACCTGTAACTGTCTATTATCGGATCAGACTTTTGAACGGGAATGGTGAGGAAGTACCATACGAAATAATAACTTAACTATTGATATTTTCGAGTACCTCAGATGCTGTCTGATAATAGAATAGACGATTTTTGTTCTACAAATATAGTTTGTAAATATAATAGCATTATCTCTCTTTCAGTTCAAAAAGTCAAATTTTTGACTCAAATCATCATACTGCTTTTTGTTATCGTTTTAATGACTGAGAGATACTGTCAAATGCGCAGAAAATCACGTCTAAATCTACTGTATCATCTTCATAACTGCTTATTTGATTGAATAGGACAATAGTGTACGTTAATTTAAATAATGCTTCAATCAAGTATACTTCACATTTCACTGCTTAAGAGAGTAGCAAATGTTCTAGATGTTACATTTCTTTTTGTGAAAAAAAAAATTTGAAATCTGAGCACTCAAGAATGGCGTGTTAGTGATTAAATATTGATGGTAATATTTTATATTAATAACATTCTACTTCCTTTGAAGAAATGCTCAATTAAAGCCGATAATTTTAAGTGTAATTATTACTTTGTATAATAAAAATCTAAGCTTTGCTATTACTTGACGTAGAAATTTGTATTCCAAATGTTTTCATATGTCAGAGGATTATACATGACTACAGACAAGCGAAAAATACTAACTGTCGACAGTTATATGTAAATAGGTTTGTGTAGTGATCTTGAAAATATCAAAGTGACTCCATTATTAAATGAAGAGCGAGAACGAAACGATCAAATTATTTAAAATAATGAAAGCCACACACCTTTCATCAATTTTTAATTGAAGGGAAAATTTGTTTTTGTCATAAACAGAAACACAATGATAAAACAAATATTCTGAAATACAAATCAATCAATATACCGATAGTACCCAAATGACAATAATACCCAAAATTCCGTAAATTTGGAAGATTTTGTACAATGCTACAATGCTACTTATCTTATACGATCTTAATCTAGTGCGACCTATTTTATACAATTTCAGTCGTTTAACGAACTTAATTATGATAACTAAGAAGGATTTCAAAAGACTAATAGTGAATTTATGGAAGTTTTGAGTGAAAACACATTGTTTTTAATTTCCGTTCTTCTTTCCCACATCAAATATTTTTAAGTTAGAATTCATGTGGGATATAAACTACACTGACATGTTACCCGATTTATGTTATGAAAATATTGGTACTCATAGACAAACACTGTACCATAGTAAGCGCTTAGTTCAGTAAATGCTTATAGATGCACTGACACTAGCCATGACTGTGTTTGCCTCGAGTGAACACAACCGGAATATCTCTGCTAAACGACCGCTGAGAGGACTTGGACCGTTTCTTCTTGGATTTATCATATACAGAATCAGTGAAAAGATGTTCTGTCTCATTTCCGGTACGTGCAAATTTGGATACTGCCTCACATCCTTGCATACAAGCATCTTTTATGACGTTCAATCGTTCCTCAAATTAAAATGTCAACAAAATAATGTCACATAATCTAGATGATAATAATAATAGTAATAATAGCAACAACAGTGATAATATTAATAACAACAATAATAATTAATAATAATAGCAGTGATAAGCAATAAAATATAGCTATAATAATAGAAAAATGGTAACTATAGTATCTAACGTAAATATATTGTCCCTTTTTTCAAGGCAAATAATTTAATTAAAAAGTCTATAATTCAGCACTTTTTAAAATTAGTGTATTATAGAAGTACTATTACGACTATCAATGATATTTATTCCCTTTTCTATTTCAGACAATAAAAAATTTCTCTTACAAAAACTACTATATGAAGAAAAAACTGATACACGATTTAGTCTTTTTCTTTTACTTCAGCCAAATAAACACAGTTATAAGCTTTCATAGCATTTATAATCAGTTAATGATGCGTTTAGATTTCTCCTGGGAACAGAAATATCTGGCAATTCATGTGACTAAAAGTGAAGAATGATCAAATGGGAAGGTTTGGATGAAAAATATTTTCCCTTTCAGTACTGAAAATGTACTAAGTACAATATAAAGTCTTCATTTGGGATAAATTCTTATGTACACAGCAAGAAGAATATGATATTCCCAATACATTTACGCCTCAACATCAGATTAAATTAAAACCTTCAACTATATATGAACTAAGATTCCCTGAGCAAAAACGACACGCAAGTATCATGAAAATAAATAATAGGTTTCTTGAATTGTTTAGGAAACAAAAATAAAATGACTACTAACAAACCGATAAAGAATTGATGATAGCATTACTTTCCGACACACCATTAAACGCTTTCTGAAAGAATAGTGCCACCATTATTACTCTATACTTCTATGTTGTCATATTTTCAGTAAATAAAAGTGGTTCGCAAATATCTAAATAAAACTGATAAAAATATAACTCAACGCTTGACAGTTTAAATCTCCCACATCTTATTAGCTTCATTTTAAGATTATTTAAGCAGCAAAAATTTTATAAGATCAGAAAATTTCTTGAAGGATGAAAAATAGTTACTTGCGTTTTTTTTGTAATATTGTCAATTTTTGCTTCAATTTGTTCCAGTCGAGTATTATTTAGCAATGAGGAAGTATTCCAAAATGAAGTTCCTGAGGATGAAGTTACCAAGCGTGATGCATCAATATGCATTTTGATTCTCCTCATTTCATGCTTAACTATTGCTAGTTCTCTCATTAATACATCATGGCTTCCATCACCTATCAAAAAGTGATATAACAAAACTGAAAAATATTTTCATTTTCTTCTAATAAATGAGCACAATGATGATACTTTGGGTTATAACAGCGAAGCATTTAAAACAATCTAAACGAAGAACAAAAATGAAAACAAATCTGAAATATTTTTACTGCGCAGTTGATGAATCTGCGATAAAATATACACCGTGAAGAAGCCCAGAAATGCTATCGCAATAACAATTGTGAAAAGTAGCAAAATAAGCATGTGTTGCATATTACAGCAGTACCAATGAGTAAATGCTGTTTCTGCATTTGGACGAGCTCTGCAAGCCAAGAAGCAATGTTCACTATCCTCTTTACTCAATTCTTCATTTTTTCCTGTTCTTGCAAAATTGGCGCATATAATTCGTTTATAGTAATTTATTCAAATAAATTAAGTAAAGAATAAAACAGAATCAAGCATTAATTTTAAACAAACTTTCCAATAATCGTGAAACAGATTAAAGTGAAAGAAAAAATTATTGATCACAACTGAAAAAATATGAAGAAAAAGTTTAAAAAATAAGAAACTAACTTGGAGAACAAAACTGATCGTTCTTTACGAACGTTTACAGTAGGTAGGTCAAGATCAGGTACATCAGAGTCATCTGAATCGAGCAGCAAACCAACCTTCTGACACATTCTTGCAGCAAAACTTATCTACTGATCATTCTTTTATTTTTCTGTTGAATAATTTTACTTTGAAAGTAATAGCAAATTCAAAACCTAAAGATGGAATTGTAAAAATCATCAATATCCTCCTCAATAAGTGATCAAATTTTGTTGTTGAAGTAATCACTTGTATGAAAATAACCATCATCAATATTTTATGATCATTGTCAATAGTTGACGTGATTGCGTTCTGCACGCACTTTCACTGACAAGAAGAATAACTTAGAAATAATAATTCCTTTGCACAAATCATGCTATCATACTGATTAATCAAAGTCGCCACATTATGACAGTTTAATTGATTTCAAGCAAAAAGAAGTATGATAACTAATCATTACATTGCCAACACGAGCAAAAGTCAATAATATTGTTGGGTTAACTTAAAAGTAATCTATCCAAGTACGTGCATGTATTTCTTCCATGCTATTCTTGTTTACTTATTTAAAATCTGTAGTGCAGTAAATCAAATCAAACAAACGTTACGGCAGTCAAAAACCACGTATACGTGCATTTATATAGTACTTAACAAGCAACTCAAATGAAACCAAAAGTGTATGTGATGGGTATAGCAGTCAAATCATCCATCAATCATACTCGCTTGCAATCATTCTTCTCAAATGTTATTTCTAGTGCATACTTATGACGAGTGTTGATAGATATGCAAGTAAATTTGCATGAATTGCAAATCAGCTGTAACCCTTTACTTTCCCACACCATCTGCTCTAAAGTGAAATTTACACTGCTTTACACATAACGCTGCCACTCACAACAAATAGCACTTACTCTAAAAAGTATCAGCACACTACATAACATGACAAAAAAAACATAACACATGCAGCCATCACCACATTTAAGTAAATTGCATTGCTCAACTATCCATCCTTAACAAAAACATGGCCACACAATACTTGACATCCATCCACACCAGCCCTCTACAAACTAGACAATCCTGATTACAAGAATACTGCTACTAGTGTCATCTCATTGCACCCAACTTTTACATTGCATCCATTGAAGTCAGTAACTGAAAGTTTATTCACTCAGAAAGATATTTCTATCTATACTGCTTTGCATAATATAAATACTGTAAATTCCTTAAAACAAATGAACGCAAAATCAATCATGAACAAGATACAAAACGAAACACGTACTGAAAATTGTATGCTTCAATGCTTCTTTCAACACAATAAAGCGACAAAGTTTCCCTTTTCAACACATCGAGTACAATTAACAACAAATACTACACAATTAGATGGCGTATAAGCTGTTGTCTATTTCCACAGATACCAACTTATTCCAATCGTTTACCTTCGACTCACTAAATTCAACGAAGAACTGACAAAAATGAAATATAAATGAGAACCAGAACATCAGAGTTATTTCAGACAGAATAATTAAAACTACAGCTTAACCAGCAGAGATGAACATGTAAATACCGTAAAAAAAATTGTTAAAGATCACATATAAATCCCTATGCATACATAGAGATAATCATATAAATACATTGAGTTGACGAAAATCGACCAAATCAACCATGCCGACAATTTGTTTTGCTATAGTACGTGAATATTTCGATTCCATGTGTATTCCTTGAGCAGCCTACAATTATTTTTCCCTGAAGACTAAAAAGAAATAAAGCAAGATCCCACACCCTTTCCTCAATTTCGCTATTCTCTAATCTTATATCTGCTGTTCAGAATCAAAATCAAAGCTGACATCAAATGCAGAAGTAGGCATAAAACACTATTTTAGAACCACGCTGGACATTCATATTACTATTTTAACTTATTTCTGCATTCTGTCCAACGATATTTTGCAACAGGAATAAGTATACTTGAAAAAATAAGAAGTGACTTTCTTCCAACCTTTTTGAAAATCTTGTAATTGGGTCCATTCATATTATTGATAGATGTCGTGAATGATGAATTATCTCTTTCTGGATTCCGTTTCTCCAGATTCCTATACTGAACCACTTTTTCCTATAAGAGGTATTCCCAAAAGTAATGCATCAAAAAGCAAAATTTAGAAAAGTATGGATGCAAAAATTGACAGTATCAAAAAAGAAATGACCAGTTTCATGCGTAGAGTTTCAACATCCATCCCCAGTGTTAAATCACATTCTTCATTGATAGTTTCCTGACTCAAACTTTTTTCCATCAATGCTTCCTTTTCATGAGGATTCTGGAAACAAATCCATGACACCAATATGAACTAGTGAGAAAAAAATCAGTGTATGAAGAAATGCTAACACATATGTCATCTACAACTTCATCGATTTGCATCTTTACACGTTTGCAATCTATCATTAATTGGTCGTCATTTCTAAGATCATCTGAAAAGCAATTTGAAATCCTTAACAGGGTATTTTAAGGATGAAGGAATGAGAATGATAACTTAGTTATTTTTAACAAAAACCTTTTCTTTTCTTGGTAGAGCTCTGACTGAATGATGGAATAAAAACAGCTTGTTCATTTTGCATGCTCATCTGAAATAGATATACTAGTAATACTAGACAGAAAATACTGGAAAATGATTTCAGATAGGTACAATCAGTTTCAATGAAAACACTTTAAAGAAAAGATAATACTCTAGAGTTACCCCTTTATTGTCATTCAGCAATATTCATCGATAAAAATATGACTCACTTGGAAATCTGATTCATCATTTACATGATTTGCTAAATTTGCTTGTAGAATTCGTCGTTCATGTCTGCAATTATATGATTATTTTTGCGAAATATGTTAGAAATTACGAAATGTGAGGCATTGACGATGAAAAACTCGTTAAAATCACCAAATTTAAAGCAGCTGTTATTGATGAACATGACCAAATAAATTAATTATAAGAATTGAACGCGAGCGAACACTAAAAAAAAGTGTTATTGCCAATAGATGCAAGAAATCACCACTGCATGTGAAACAAAAATGATTGCCAAATCCCAATAAGACAACAATTAATTTACATGGTGTTCAGAACGGAATTCGATAACAATCTAGACGGCTTTTGAACACCAGTATTATCCACTTTCGCATCAGAATCAAATTGATTCTCAGACATATATTTGAACAAATCAGATTCTTCAAGCAATCCATAATTCCCACTGAAAAAAAATCTCTTCTGCTTCCATGATTTTACAATACACTTTCTATCTGAAAAAATATGAAACAGTATGTAATTAAAAAATACGTGAAAATGGAAGCATCCGAATCTGATGAACAGGAATCTTCAACCATATCACACACATTACTATCACCTAAAAATCGTTTACAGAATCAATACTAACGTCGAATATTATGTCACTAGGATTCTAAAAAATTCTAAAGAAATTTCACTTTACTTGAACTGTCTTTCCGTGCAGTTGGAGGTACTATATTTTGCAATTCATCGCGAACAGAAATAGAAGAAATATTTGACTTCTCCACCGAATTTCTAAACAATTCATACATGAAAATTATCGATACATATTCCGACATTTTATTCAAAAATTGCGTGTTAATAATCAATAAAATGGATCATTTGATATAGATATAATATAAAAAATCTTCCATTCCACCAGTCGATCACAATTAGAAATAAAGTACATGACTTTTAAACTTCTAAATCAAAAAGACTAGGAAATTTCGTTATAAGTGAGAATAATCTGGTAGAAAATTTAAAAACTAAAGACTTTCTTCTCATCGTCGTTATTCGAAGAGGAAAATTCTTCATTTATTTTATGACAGTAAAGTATCGAACTAAAAAATTATTAAAGATATTACATTACATTGAGACCATTTGAGATAAAATAATATGAAGAAACTTTGACCTTTCAAATTTGTTCCGCACACTGTTTTCTGTTCCCGGAACAAATTTCCTATCCTTTAAAAATGCAACATTTTTTTTAACATGTTAATATAAAGTTTGGGTACTTTACAACAGATAAAACATGAAATATTTCAAACGATGCCAAAAATCTGATAAATGGTTACATGTCGTGAAACTTACTTGTTCACCCTAATGCTTTACGTTTTAAATAATCTTAAAGTAGTTTGTACGAGTAATTTATCATGCTCCTAAAAAGTGAAATTCATAAAAACTAAATTACACATGGATAATATGAAAAAAACAGATATAAATCGGCAGTTACGAAGAAAAGGAAAGAAACCTGTATATCCTGAAGAGTTTCTTTTTTGGAATCATCTGCTCTAGTTAATTTTTCTACAGTACATCCAGACACTTTCCTTTTTTTGATGACACTTTCTTCTTCAACTACGGCTATTTTTCTTGATTTAGCTTTTATTTGTGAATTCACCGAAAATCATATAATTAAGTCTTTAAAGCATAATTCACAGAATGCAGTTTAACTCCAATAAAGCTAACTCTCAAACCTTTATTTGCAACAAATGAACTTTGGATTTGTATCTTTGAAATTATAGGAGCTGAGTTGAACATTTGAATCAAATACTGACTTTGAATGATGAAAAATAAAAATTGCGCCTCTAAATCTTGAGAGCGAAAAACAAAAAAGCAATACCATCAGTGATAAATAACACTTACTTTCTCATTTTTCAGTTGAGGAAAACTAATATGCTTTTCGATTTGCTCATTTTCTGTAGATTTTTCTTTGATAATGAAGAAGAAATTACCAACCTACAATAATTAACTGATCATTTGAAAAATATTTATGCCTTCAAGATCATGGCTGAACGAAAGGAAACCCAAAATAAACATCCTTTAGATAAAAAAAACATCAACAGCTTCCACTTTATACAATAAGAACAAGATAAATATAAGAGTTAGAAATTCTTCTTGCTAGCTAACAGAAACTGTCAGCTTCTCAAACAAAATTTTCAGAACCATAGCCAATAATGAATAGAGGAATTACATATTTGTATTTTCTTGTCGATGCAACATAATTAAAATCTTCTAAAAAAATCACTGAACTATGAATCACGTCGAGTTCTACTACATGAACAATTACTTACTTCGCGCTAGTACAATTACCAGCGAATGTTTGAACAGCAAATCAAAAATGACATTTCGAAATTTTAATCTTTAATTCGAAAGTTCTTGACATTTTTCATGTAATATCTTGTAAAAAAAAAGTGTATTACAATTTTCGACTTCAAGAAAATCAAGGCAGAATTCAAAATTACATAAATTGCAATAACCCATAAAAATGCAAAAGAGATAAACTCCCATAGTAACACTAAGAAAATTCGTGAAACATAAATGCATTACTACAATCTTGAGCCTCCACAAAATGCAGATGCTAAATTTCGTGTTTTAGAATACAAAATATGAATTCATATTGATTTTTGATCTTAGTAAACAAAAATAGAAGCATCCGGAACAAATTATAAAACTATTTTTTCGATTAGTAAAAGACGTGAAAATTTAGTGTATTATAAAGCAATTTACTTGGATAATTGCTGAAGGTTTCAGCTCCCTTTTTTTTTCAAGCACCAATGGTCCACCATCATAACCGGTACCATATGTACTTGTATCTTGGACACATACCTGAAACATTTGTAGCTTCAAAACACATTGATCAGCCTAAGTCATCTAACTTTATGGAACAATTAAAAATGAAACTCACGCAACCATTAGATAAAAGTTCGAGCCTCAAATGCACTCGACTTACACCTTGAGCATTGATGCCCAGAGCAATTCCACATTGACGCCAATCTCTACCAATACAGACATTATCGCCTGCCTTCGAAAAAATATAGAGCGGGTCATCTAAAATATTGCAAAAGTATGGTAACATCCTGACATTTCACTATTTCAAATCGCTAAATTGAAGAGACTCTGTATGCATATCAAGACAAAATAGCAAAGTCAGGCGATGCAATCCAAAATTCGCATGACCTACAAGTCCAAACCTGCTAGCGATCCAAACTTTCAATGCCTATCGAGATTTCCATAACTGTTAATAGTCATTAAACTACCTGGTTTGTCACGATAAGCAATAGTCACCACCATCACACCGCCTGCAACAAATGGGACTAAAAAAGTGCGAGTCGTCCAAAATCCACCACAGAATCGCAGACGATTAAATCGCTGCCTCTATTTGAACCACGTGCTCTCGTCTTCTTTCAAGAAAACCATTTAAGAATGAACAGGTATTTCCGACAAAATTTATAACACATCCTCAATTAGAGTAAACCATGCTTCGGCTCACGTTTATCTCTCACTCTAAAAACCTTAATGTCCAACAAAAAACCACGCATAACAAGAAATACCTCACCATACTATACTCGGCATTGAAAAATCAATTCCGCGAATATTCAGAGGCAATTAGCACTTGCGAACATGGAAAAGGCATTATTACCATGTAATAGATATCGTCTAATGCGATGAAGTAAACTGACAATGTGGCACAAAAAGAGATGTTTATTCTTTATTTTTAAAGTAAATAACAGCAACATTACATGAATAAATAGAAGAAAGAACACACATGTCGGATTTTCTAGAACTGGATGACCTGAAATTAGATGCATTTCAAAAAAATCTGGATGACACTTAAACTAAAATACGATACTTGTTTTTGAACGAGCCTCTTCCCGGACTTTTTACTATAATTTAGCTGAACATTTGCATCGCAAAGTTTTAAGAATCACAATAAACTGTAGAAAAAATATTTACGAGGTCTTAAACATAAAATTGGAGCTCATATTCATGGTGCTAAAAATATCTGTCTAATCACATTTACTTAAATTCCACCTAATCAAACAGTATCCTTTTCTTACAAGTTAGTTGCTAGAAACTAGGCAAATTACACATATACTCTGTCAACATACCTGTCCACGTGTTTTTTTTTGTCCTCCCAACTCAAAGTGCTTGCATCGTTTAATTGGTAATTGTTTGCGGTGTTTGCATTCAGTACATTCCATTCTTAAAACAATTTTCTTCGTTGTTTTAGCTTTCTTCCGGAAAATAGGTTTAGTTTGTCCACCAAAACCTTTTTGTTTGGAGTCATAACGTCTCCTACCTGAAAAAATTATTTTCTATAAGTGATATTAATGATAGAAATTTTTGGACTAAAAAAATTACTCGACTGTAATCAAAATTGATCGAATTCATGCAAAATTTTATCTTAAACTTAAACAAAGAGTCAATAAAACAAGAATTATGAACACAAATCTTCAAAAAAATACTTAGGAATAAAACTCCGCAAGAAATCAGACAGCAAATTCTGTGACAACATAATCTCACAAGCCCTAAACTACTGAAATAAAACAGAAACGTACCTTGAGCCAGTCTTGATTCTTTTCCTTTCTTATACTGAGCTACTTTGTGCAACGTATGTTTACGGCATTTGCCATCGCAAAATGTTCGCCTTGTTTTTGGTACATTCACCATTTCCTTAACTCACTAAAACTAAAAAAATCAACTACTTCCGACAGACCAAAATATAACTGAACATTGACACAGATACGAGTCCATCAAATCCAAACACAACAAAAAAAGTACAAGAAACAACTTTTACATAACCACCATTCCTAACTCACTATTCTTCGCATCCTAATCGGGCTGATCAAACAATACAACGGCCAAGCCGTCAAATACCTTTAGCATTTAGAAAATTTATGTTTACAAGAAAAAGAATTCAGCACGTCCATAGAAAGATAACATTTATATGAAGTTTGCAGATTATCAAAGCAATAAGGTTCACCAAATACCATGTTTCCTATATCTGGAATTCAAGAACATATGCAGTAGGGAACTGCAAACCCAATAATTAGATAGTCTAGCTTCCCAAAAAATGATTACGATGTCATATATTTGATCGTTGCATATGGATGTTATGCAACTTTTTCTAAACAAAATTGAGGGAAGTTTGGTTCTGTACCATTAAAGATCACATTGAACTTAATATCTGCAAATATTATGCTTGCTTTCTTAAATTAGATTCAGACAATAATAAATTTGAAGGAATCACATGCATTACTGATTAATATATTAGTAAGAATGAAATATTTGAATATAAGTAAAAGTATGCATATAAATATTGTGTGGCATTATGTGAGTTGAGGTAGTGTTATTAACGTTTAAAGCGATGGATGCATGCTTGACTGGTAGTACGTGTCTTATCCTTTTTTCATTGTTAGTGGAGACAATCGCACTATCTTCTCTGCAAGAAAAACATGCACGTGAAGAGTTGAAGGGGAAAAATCCAGAAAATCATTTCGACTTACCGGCGGTTAGTCAAAAATTAGTATAATGGTTATCTTGGGTACAAGGGTTTGCGATTTACGTTTGAAATATTAACTGATCGCTAGGTGAGAATCTTTAGTTTAACTTCAGCAAAATTTATTACAGTTAGAAAGGAGAGAATCAGTCAAGAGATTCTTTACATTGCCAGCATCACTTTTTGGAAGTGTATGTTTAGAGATCATGTAAATCAGCTTGCTTTCAAACAAGTGCTAAAGTAATTATGTAGTCTATGATTGGTTGAGAGTTGTGAAAACTAGATTGAGTGCCAAGAATGATATCAGTAATGAGAGTGACGGAAAAATTGCTGCAAGAAGTTCGAGCGGTATTTGTGGTTCACTTCACTAATGTTAATCTCAACATGGATTTCAGGATTGTGGGTTGTTTGGGCAGGAGGTGTTCTGCTTTTCATCTTTATCATGCAATAAGGCAAGTTGAAATTTTTCACTACCACTGTGATTTGCATATTAAATAGCATTATGGTTTCTTAGATTGCATAACATCTTTTTTGGCGCATAGTTATCGTACAGTATAACAAACACAACCACGCCACATTTTCAGTACTGTGCACAAAAATGCTCTTATATTTCATCACTTGAACTGCGCAACTTGCAAATTCTATCTTCTCATCAAAATCGGATACAGGAATCTCATGACGGCAAACTCCTAGATACCAATCTCCGGATTAATTACTATGATGTTGAAGTATGTATTTGACTATCACTGACTTCATTATGAGTTTTAAATCTTCAAATAAGAACAAATACAAAATACAGCCGTTAAATGGACTCAATCCTTTTCATTTCTTTGTAAGAATTTCTTTTTAATTTGAAGATGACTGGTGCGAAACCAGCACTCTGCGGTGATTATTCCACCTTAGTGCTACCTTCCTACTCAGTTAGAGAATCACAATCGATTGGCACCCAAATTCTGCACAAGCTTTACTACCAAAATACTCGAGAAGTATATACGCATGACGAGTGTAACCACCAATGTTTTTATGGCTGTCGCCCGGCAGGGTATGACGAGATAATAATAGACGAGTTGATCGAGCGTGACATACCTGACTTACTTATTTACCAGTGCGAAAGGTATCACTTAATCTTCTGAAGCTTTCTCACTGCATTGGAATAATTACAGATATTGTAAGAGAACATACTATACCTGCATTCTCGTTTCAACAAACCATAATTACAGGATAGACTTTACTATGTCATTCTAGCTTACTGAGAACTATTAGATGATAACTGGTAATTACAGCGTGCATGTTTGGGTGTACATCTCGCTGATAATAATAGTATTCGTCCTTCTTCTCATTTTCATATCATGTTATGTGCGGAGTAAGATATCGAGCATATATGGTAATTGTTTTCAACACTTCTATTAGTATAATTGGCTGCATTTAATATTTTGAATTACCATAACAAAGAAGCAAAAAATGTGATGCAAATTTTCAGAGACAACAGATGAAGCATGAAACAACAAAAATACTTTTCCTGTCTTTTTATGTCGGTATTTTTCACAGTGAATATGATATCCAAATAAAGCATACTGTTTAAATTTTGATGCCGAACTTAAATCTCTCTAATTAAATGTTTGATAAGCGTCTTCTGCAAAATGAAACAAATTCAAAAAACAAAAAAAGCTGAATGTTTTAGTTTGAAAATTTAAACACAACGCCTTGTTCTGGCTGCAGAATCAGGGGATCATCAGTGAGATCAATCAGTTGACGATAGTAATATTGCATCGCATTGGTACTACATGCCATTACTCTAGCATGATCTAATTTTGGTTCAAGAGTAAGCACTGTATCTAGAATCGGAATCGAAACACTAACTGAACCAAAATTGAACGCTCCCAAATATATCTAAAAATATAGATGTCATCATTATGACCAAAGCGAATGCGACGCAACTAAGCATCTGATTATTATTGCAGTCTTAATAAACCATGCGTTAGCATAAGAAGTGAAATACAAATAACAATAATAAGTAAACAGAAAACAAGACAAAATGGAAACAAAGACGTTGAGCAATAAAAACGGTCTGCTGACGAGGAAATCCAACACAGTTCTTTCAGTCAACCAGTATATATAAACTACTTTTTCCCATAAAAGATATTACATTTTTCTCGGAGTTGTTTCTTCCAACAGAGTGTCGAACGATCGTGAAAGCACTATTTATAAGCTCTCCTATAATGATAGATCCAAGAGCAAGTGTCTCATCGACTTTTCGTAACTGTGCCATTTTTTTAAATGTTTTCAAATGTGATCGCAAGGAACTGTATTGATTCTACAATATACCATTTAGCATATACTGGCTATTTTAAGTAAGTTTGTCTGCTAAGATCAAATTTTGGAGCTTATTCTCAAAAAATAAAAATCATTTCGAATAAACAACAACAAAAAATTTTTTGCGATAACAATCTAAAATATTATTGATTCCAAAATTTTCTGAAATTTTGTGATGTTCAGTTTATATAGAATAAAATTTGGGACAGAGGTAATCTTGTTCGTGAAACATTTTTTTCGCTCTAACCAAATAATCGCAGCAAATTCCTCCTTAACAAACTAAGGACACTATATTACGCCCTCATCTTACAGATCAATTACGATTATTATTCACAAGAGAAAACTAACAGCCCAGTTATTATTCACAAAATCTGGATGGACTGGAATAAGAGGTGAAGCTGCACTTGAAAACCCAGCATTTACAGAATCATCCCACTGCATCGCCCCTTTTTGTACTGGTACCTGCAGAAATAAAACCTGATTCAAGACATAAACCTGAATAGACGAGTAAAATTAAAATCTCTGCTTACAAATGAAGAATTTGTCGGCAGGTCTGACATTCCAATTTCTTCGCCATAATAGATACTATTAGTACCCGGTAGAAGTAACTGAACCATAGTTAATAGTTCAGCTTGTTTCGACGACTTTACACGAGATGATACTCTGGACAATCGTGTGCTGCCAAACTGAAAACTACATTCAAGCAACAACAAAAACTCTGCAGAAAAAAACTTTTAAAGTCGCTGATAAAGTAATCTCTTTTCATTGAAATTAGTGGCAATAATAATATCTCAGAATTTTATTTAAGTCAATAATTTAATAGATGAATATATGATACATTTACTACACAATTATTTCATTAAACCAATTACCTCCCACATTGCAGGTATATTTTCTGCTTCGTGAAACTGTACCAGTTCAGAAAGTATTTCATAAACGCATCCACCAACATTGCCTTCAGAATGGTGACAAATTCTATTGTCTTTTCCAATACCTCCTAACTCGTAATTAATTACCGTATCCAGCCCACTCAATACTAGATCTTTTTTCTGAGTTTCTTTTGCGTTGTCCCTCATACCAAATAAAACACTGCATAAATGCAAAATTATTATGTAGATGAGCATATTTCTCACGTTGTTTTCGCTGTATATGAAGGAGACTAAATATATGACCAATATTTTGCATATTAAAAAGGAATAGTAAACAAAAAGTATATAATTTTTTATACTGTAAACTTGTTTAACTCACATTTGTTTCGTTTCACCCATCGAACTTTCTTTTGCATATGAGTTAACATGATTTCTGATATCTCGAAGAATATCCAAAATATGTGGCCAGTCCTCAAAATTTTACAGGAATAAATTTCGGTACATAATATTGAAAAATAAAGTATAAATTTCATGAGTGTCAGATGGACCAATATTTAGGTATTATGTGCTTTGCTGAAGCTTCCTACAACGTTTTCTTAATATAATACAACATACTGCCACATGTCCTAGCTGCAAACGGGCAAGATATTCGATACCACTCAGATAGAAGCCATCAATGCCCTTATCAATCCAGTATGATATCACATCCTCAAGCAAATAAAATGCAATGATAATATTACTCATATTTTTCCATCTTTCGTTCTTACAAGCCCATCCACTGCTTTTATTTATCGTGTTACGAAACGCAAAACAACAATTTACAAATCTTATATGGTCAGAATGAAATATTAAGATATAGAGATAGTTTTGTAGATATAAAAGTTCGTGTTCAAACTGCTAAAGAAATAAATCGATTTTAATCAAAAGCAAGAATAATTTATAATAAAACTTACAAACATGTTTTGACGAACAAAGTCACTTTGCCAATTTAAAACGGGCCAGTCAGGTCGATTTTCGTAATGAATATAAGAGAAGTTATTATATTTTGATATAAAAGGGCTATCTTCAACTGGCTGTCTCCAGTGATAGTAATCCGAAAAGTTTGAGTTCTCTTTCAAAGATGCCTGTGAACTTCGATTAAACCAACTATGTTTGATAGATGTAACGCCAACTGGTAAGCTTATCACAGCTTTCATTCCTAAAACTGTGGAATACTAATGGCGGATGTTCGTAATGAAGTTAACACACATGTTGCTGAAATTTCAAAAGTACCTCAAGAAATAAAAAGTGCTTAGACAATACACACCCTTATCATGAATAGCATCGATTAAGTTATGAGCATCGCTATTAACACCCAGTCTTGAATCTACTGTCAAATGATCAAGAACAGCATCACTGAAATTATCAGAGAGAAGAAATGGATTCAGCCACAATGCTTGAATACCGAGACGTCGTAAATTTTCCAGACGATCTGAGAGGCCAACGAAGTCTCCAATGCCACTTCCATCTGAATCTTGGAATGAAGGTACCCATACCTAAAAAAATGATATTTTTTTTGGGAAAACTAAATTTACACTAGTAAAACCGTCCTTCTTTATCCCATAAAACAAGAACAATGCTTATTTTATTGCAATAAAAATACATCCAACGTTACATAAATGAAAAGATAACCACAAAAGTCATAAAATATTTGCCTGATAAACAATAGCATTATGCCACCAGTGTGGTACAGCTCTCGGAACACAGCCTGGACTAAAAATGACAATAAGGATTGCAGCAAGAAACATTAGGATCCATAGCAGCCAAAATAATAAGAAGAGAAGCCATCTGAAAATATGAGTTAAAGTTATAACAGGACAAAAGTAGCAAAATTTCTTTACTGAAAAATAGCATAAATGAAAAACAATTAAAGACAGCACTGTTATAGAGAATGAGAATGAATCTCATCATTTTATCTGTGTTAGTTGTTACTGCTTATATTTTAAATCCCTGGTAAATCTGCATGAGCTTCATCATCAATGATAAAATCATTTTGTTGACTAATTTGCTGATAAAGTTAAACATGATGCTACTACAACCAAAACCTGCTTTAGAATGAATTATAATATCAAATTCATTACATTTATGACTTCTGGTTTTATATTAAATACTTATAAAGATGAAAGTGAATTCCGAAACCTGAATATCAAAGCAAGAAAGAAGAACGGAAAGTACTAAGTGATTGCAATGAAGAGCATAACAAACGAAGATTAAAAACCCACCAGGTTATTCAAAACAAAAGATGACAAAGATAGTATAACATCTCATAGCTTTATAGTAAAAAGCAAACCTCAAAGTTTTCCAAATAGGATCGTTTCTATATCGTTCCAATTCAGCAAGAGAGTATCCGCAAACTTTCTCTTCTTTCTTTTGTACTAAAGGTTCAGTTTGCAGAAGCGGTGAAGCTAGCGCATGATCACCATCCTTGTCTAATACATCTAAAGGAATCGCTTTTGCTTCCTGCATCAATGAAATGATATGATTAACATCTGATAAGAACATGTAAAAGATGGACTGTTTACATATATGACAGAAAATGTATGATAACAAAAGAGCCAAAAGAGATAAGAGTTTTTTTTAATGATAATGATGTAAAAGACGAAAATACATACTTTGTAAAATACGATGTTTAAATCCTACTGTTTAAGTAAGAATGCTCAAATTATCCAAGACTCTGCTTAATGGAAGAAAAGTATCGGCATAATGTTGTCATTAGTAAAACAAATTACTTTCTATGTTAAGTGATTGACAAAGTATTTTGCTCCACAGGAGGGTACAATTTAATAAAAATTCTTACAAAACCAGGATAATCTAAAAAATGAGATGATATATTATCAAACATTACACATTTATTACCGATTCAGCAGTATGCGGCGATGGCACACTCTGTACAGCAGGACGATTACCACGAACAGCGGTAATGTAGCTTTCACTATGGCGCCCTCTGTCAACCTCATATTTCCCGGAAGACTTTTTACGTGTTCCTGGAAGCAAAGTATCGTCCATCACACCGTAGCCTGGCACTTTTCTGACTCAATGCAATACGCCAATTTTTTCCTCTAAAACTCAATAAACTGTAACAAAATAAATTGCAAAGCACATGACTTGATCATCACCAAACCGGTAGCAATCTCTATTACTACTAGTGTAGCAAAACAATTTTGCATAATAAACAATCTTTGTATGCATTCAAATGCTTCTCTCTCTAATTGCGTTTGTCTGCCTCTCTCTCTCTTTCTCTCTCCTCTCACTTTTTATCACTTCAAATTTGAAAATTGAAGGAATCAGATGACAAATGAACAGTAGAAAACCCTACTCGTCTTTTTCGCGTCTCATCTGATTTGATCACTGCTATTATGGATATATTATTTTGCCGATATTATCAGTACTAAAAATCATATTTCACCTCTTAAATCAAACTTCAATTATACATTAAAGTGATGTTATACATTTAGTATCTAGTTCAATTTTTAAAAAATGAAAAGAATAAATTTTAAAAATTGTACGGAAATATAAAAATTTACATCAACAGCAAGATGAATGCAAAAAGCAATGAACTAATTTACAAGAGTAAATTTTCACTATTGTAAAAGGTGGAAGAAAGAAGTAAAGGGTCAAATTTACTTTTTAACACGAGTCACACTGACAAACAATGTTGAATGAGCAATGAAACGCTAAAATACCCAATAATTTTGGTCAGGAGGTCAGAGTGCAAATATACAAGTGCATACACAATGAAGCTATTGAAGCGAAACAATTATTTATGGCAGCAAGATAATGATGTGTGGGAAGGAAGGGAGAAGGGAAGGGGAACCATTGCGTGCTTCAACGAACGCATACATTGAGCTCTACGATACTTCTTCACATAAGGAGAGGTCTGAGTTGCCCCAAAAGCTTCCAGAATATAGCGAACGACGTAGAAGTTAGCCAAGTGGATCGTTCATCAAGAAGTGATCACGAGACATGGATGATAGAGTATAAAACATTGCACAATGCATACAGGGACTAGAGCAGTGGCTACAGGTACTAACTCAGGGCCGGAAAGAAAAGCGTGCGTTATAGGTTGTGCTTGTCCTCTACATCTGCTTCTTCGTTCTTTCTGGAAAGGAAGCAGAGGATCATTTCCAAAATGTCTTGGTGCTTGAGTATAGATCGGGATATCCTGTATATAAATCTTATTAATTCTAAAATCAATAATAAAGCATATATATACATATATGTAAAAGAAAATGTGGAGGTTAGTCTTCCTTTTCGCTTTATTGATTTTGGCGGTGGATCGTATTCCGACACTCTGGCTGTACTTGTTCCGCGCTCAGATTTGTTTGCTTATCCCCTTTGCTTCATCCTCGTGAAAATCACAGCGGTCATCGAATGAGATAGATGCTTTCGAGCGTTTTTTCGAGAGCTATCGATTGGATGTATACCTCAACGTGATCACATATACTGATCTTCTTCGCGTAACGTTTGTAGAAGTTCATTACAATCTCATCCCAAGTCATCGCATATGCAATTACTTTGATCCTGCATTTCATCTCTAACCCGAGGTTATTAGCAAGTAGGTCATATTTTCGCTTTTTCTCGGTCTCGACTTCTGTCAGCCTGTCCTGACTAGTGTTGCCAACCTCAATGAGGATTACTTCATGTCACTTCTTATCGTAAATCGAGGATAAGAACATGAAGTAATCTTGACAAAAGTTGGCATCATATATGTATGTATATATACAGTTATGAGAAAAGGAAACACACATATCAAAGCATACTTTGGAGTACTGAGAAATAAATATGGTCATTTATGGATATTAATATGTATCTGGTCATTTTTATCAAAGTAATTGCTTCAGTGACTAAACTAACTGATCTGCTATTGGAAATCTTCACAACAATACAAATTATAAATGAATTACTTGGGCAGTCCTGCTTCTGAAACTACTAATTTAAAATGTTTAATTTTAATTTGCTGAGGAAAAGACACTTGAAGTGGATCTTGTAGTCAAATGGATTACATTAGAGATCATTTTGCTTATCACTTTCTATTATTTACTAAGCAGTAAGACAAGACGAATGTAACGGTTGGCATTGGTAAACATTTGCAGTACAACTTTTTTATTTATGAAATGTATGGAAGTTGTAAAGTATACGTAACAATCATATATGCATTATAATATTTTATGCTAAATTTTTCGCTACAGTTATTTCTCATTCTCCTTGTCATGCAATCAGCCTCAATGATGACAGTGCCTACATCACATCCTTACTATCTTATGTCTTTCATTTTCCGCCTTTTATCAGGAGTATGTTAACCATTTTTTTACCTTTAAAATATCTCTGCATCATATTCAAAATTATGCACTATCTACTTACGGCTGACATATTCTGTAAGAAAACTTTCTCTCAAATCTTTTTTGACCTCAGGTTGTATTTGAGTCATTGAACAAATATGGCAAATATTTTTAGCTATTAAAAATCACTATGTATTTAGCTTTCACAGCAATGAACAAGTAGTAAGTGTCTTTTTGTACTAACCTAAGCCTTTACTATTGCTTAAAAATCATCACTACACCTATTACCTTATTGGTTTAGTACATTATTAGAAAATATGATAACATTATATCAGTTTTCGTATTTTACACACTAACGTCTTGGTTTTGCTTATATTTTGCAGATAAGTATAATCATTTCGTTGATAAGTTGCCTTACAAATCATTTATGGTACCATTATACACTTCCAACAATTGGATTTGTGTTCTTACTTTTTTCAACTTTTGCCATCATTGCTGCCATTATCGAAGCAAGAAAATGCTCGAAAAATGTATTCCTGCTATCATATTCTGCGGTAAGCCTTATCAAGAAAAAATTTGATTTACAGTAGAAACGCAAGAGATGAGAATTTGCAAAAAGTATTCAAGTGAAGGAAGAAACAAGCAAAATCAAGAAGACACGTTTTCTCTTCAACAACTACTTCAACTTTATCTTCTTAATTAATCACTTTGTGGTTGATGTTTATAATTGAATTAAAATCAAAAATTAGCAATAGAATAATTCAATGTATCAGTTGATGGAATCAAAAGTTGATAATTGAGGGTTAAGAAATTGGTCATCATAACAATTCCATTATTTCTATCCTTATTAGCTGCAATATTTTTCGCTATTGGAATACGAGTATGTATTAATTTATTTATGGAAAGCTGTTTTGTACTCTACAATTCTCCTTCCTTCACACTTGCAACAGTTAGCCTTTATAATGTCAATTCTTTAATTTAGTCATATCAAAACTTGCTCAAACTTACATTCGTTTTCAGTTTTCAATCGTGTTTGAAAAATACATTTTCAGATTTTCAGCGCTACTTCATTTTGTATTTTACTGATTGAACTCATACTATTTGTGAAATTTCAAATAAATCAACAAAATTTGACACAAGAGATTGCCATTCAAACAAATGGAATCGTATACACTTCAGATCGATATCCCAGATCAGGTCACTCAGTCAATTCACAATTTATACAGACGTGTACTACAACTCGTTCTGCTATATCAACTGCATGCTGAAAAAGTCATGCTTACTTACAACTAATATATTATCCATTAATCACTGACGTTAAAAGTATACTTAATAACTGGATTAAAAAACTACTAAAAAACGATATTGTTTTTTAATGCATTTTTTTTTGCTGAGTAACCTAATTAACATACATTTATACATGAATGGTAGTCTATTTTACGTGTGATTTGGATCTTCTTTCATTTTCATTCATTTAAAAAATATGCAATAATTATTTTTGATTGCACTGTGCGAAAATAACTGCGAGAATTAAATATGCTCAATAAATTATGTTCAAAAAATTAATTTGAAAGTAAGAAAGCATTATTTGAAATAACAAGTTAATAGGAGCTTATATGATAAGATGATTAACTAACACTGCAAATATTTTAAATATATATTTTTTCTATTTTTGCTTTTAGTCGTGCTTTTTAAATATTTTTTGAATATTTACTATTAGTTGTGATAATCTTTAGCTGATGATTTTTTTGCTAGCACTCCAATTGCTTCCAGTACAGACCTCTGACCACTCCACCAAAGGTGCACCATAGCAATGTGCAACCGCTAAAACCGGACTACCGGATATTGTTCTTTCTGCTATGCTTTTATTCCTTACTCTATCAAACATCCTATCTTCATTATGCAATGCTTATTGTTGCTATGTTATAAAAAATAAATTATAAGGATATTGCAGATAATTTATTAATGCTTTATAAAATAAAAAATCATAACAATAAATCTTTGCTGCACATAGTTGGGCAGTTTCACTGGTAATCCATCAAAAGCATAACGACACAGTAGCAATAGCATCAGAATACATCGTCTACTTATCATTGCTAAAGCTTGAAGTAAATAGTGGCAACAATAATTCGTTGAAATAATTACTAAATAATTAAAACGAAAAATATGGCTTATTTTCTAAAATGGAAGATTAAGTATTTTCTGTGCATTCAATTGCATTAACAAATTTAATGAAGAGAAAAATAAAAGAGTGAAGATAGACGCATCATTCAATTTATATAGCAAACAATAAGCACAATCGGTAGCAGTACTTCAGATTTAATGCTCGATCAAGCGCGATTGACATGTTGTGAGACGACTGTTGATTTTCTGAAACCATTCCTATCAATCAGCATTTAATCATGGTGTCACTAAAATGTATAATACAGTTATTGAATAAATTATGCAATTACAATTATCACTGAATAAAAATATTATTTTATTAATATCCTAACATATTTTAATTGCAACTTTAACTTCAGAAAAAAACTTTTTGATTATAAGTATAAAAAACAAAATTTTGAGGTATAAATTTTGATCACCAGTTATGAATTGCAAACAGTTTAAATATTTGATAAGAAGAAAAGTATAATCAGCGTTTGCAGTAATCGTATTTTGTCATCTATAACATTTATATCTAGCAGTAGTAGTAGTAGTACATAATCAGTTTTTAATACCTTTTTTTCCATCACTTTTGATTGCACCTTACTCACTTTCACTTTATCAGAGAGAAGTTATCAACTGAGCTCATTCCTGTATACTCATCACAACATTACTTTTTAAACAAAAGAATTAGAATTAAAGTAAACAATTGCAGAAAAGAAAACTTGCCACTGCTTGCATTTAATTAACTATGGAGTAATAATGATGCAAAAATGACAAGATTTGGAATTAATGGCGCAAGGAGAACAACCCTGCTGCATGCACCACTTGAAAATAAATAAACCTTGAATACTTTGTATGACAAACAAAATTAAATAAATAGTCATTAGTCAGTTAGTCAGTCATTCATTCAAAATAGCACAGGTTTGCTCACAATTCAATGTTTACACCTCCAATTAATAATTATTGAATCACTTATACTCTGCTCCATGCAAAATTGGTCGTTCTTAAACAAAACTAAGTCCGGCATTACGATATGAACCCCTACCATACATATAAACATCAGAGTAATTATCCGCCAAACTACTACACTTGCTTACATATCACACGTACTTACATGACGTCAAAACCAAATTCGTTAGATACGAGTTAGTTACACTAATATAATCTACCTAATCCCTTTCAAGCACTCACTGCCTCCCCAGCAACTTCATTTCTAAGAATCACATAACGCACCTCACTTACTGACTTCAAGGATTCTGTCATATTTGTAGAGCCAATATTCCAACAAAAACACACACTAATGACCACTATTTCTGTTTGATCCGCTTTTTTTGATAGGCGTTTATTAACACAAAACAATTATTATATAACAAAAAACATTATGAGAAAAATGCAAGCTAGTGCATAATTAGCTCTACTGAACAATAAAGAAAGAGAAAAGGTCTCTGTCTGATAATAAAAAATTGCACACTTCTCAAGCAGAAAGAATTCACTGCACAATCAGACTGAAGTGGTACAAATTAGCAGAAGTAAAACTACCAACACAGAGAATAAAACAGCTAAAGTGATTCTAAAACTAGGTAAAAGCTTAAAAGACGAAAACTTCTAAATATGTAAAACAAAGTCATAAGTAAAACACTTCCATGACAAAGCTAACATAAATTTGTACAAACATTTACGTATGTCAACATAAAAAGCTCAGTAAAACTCGGACACTGTGACAGAAATTACTGCTGCCACCATTTAATGACTAGACATGTAAAAACCAAAGTGATAATTAATTCCTGTGAAATGAAGGACTGAAAAACATTTGAGACTGAGCAATATAGAACTGTTGGTTTCGAAATCAAAATAAGTCATGTACAAATAAATAGATATTCCACAATATGCAAGAAGAGACAAATTACTGAAATCATGAATGATATATAATGGACATGGAGGAGTAAATTTAAGACAAGACCGGAAAAATATGTGCGCACTACTTACCTTACAATGAAAGTTAATGGACACAGCATAAAAATTGGGCAAATTGAAACTGAATCAAACCCCGAAAACTAAAATTGCCGAAGAAATTGAAAGAACATAATTAGTAAACAGTTGACCAATTCAGCGAATACTTGATAACAGATTCAACTTTGAGCGAACAACTTTTTGCTGTCCAGCTTTACTAAACACATGCCAAAAGCGTAAAGTTTCATCTCCAGCACCTGTTACGATTGATTCACCATCTGGAGACATAGCCTACAAATACTTGAGACTATACGAAAATTATACCACGAAGAAGAATGATGTCACTATTACAAATTACTTCACTATACTCTAGATAATGCGTGTAGAAAAAAGCAGAAATAGAAGTACCTTATCAATAAAAACATTTTTGTGAAAAATGAATAAGCGTTAAAACCAAGTTCAAAAGCTTCCAAAGAGAAACTATATAGAGTATCCCTAAAAAACACTCCCTAGAATTAGTTATTGAGAACCATACAACTTCAAAACATCATGCTTACCAAATAAAGTACTCTATACTGGTGTCCAGTTAGTTTAGTAACTGGTTGCAAAGAAGGGTATTTCCATATAATGACTTGGTTATACGAATAACCATGTGTTGACACTAGCTCTGAGCTATGTTTCGACCATGCTACATTGCACACCTAACAAAAAATAACAGTCAAGAATCAAAGGCCTACGACAAGTGCATCAACAGCGAAGGAATAATACAAAAAATATTAGAAAAACTCAATTCAAATGATGGATCGAGAAGGAAAAGTGATAATGCGAAGCGACAACTATAGTGTCAAAGAGCTTAGCTTAAAAAGGCTTCACTCAAAAAATAAAATAAAATGTGCATTTTTTACGTAATGAGGTATTTAAGTATGTCACAAAGACGATTGAATGTGTACCTGACTACCAGTGTCAATACAATGCAAGGACTGGCCAGTCAGTGTGTTCCAGAAACGGAGACAACGATCAGCAGTGCCCCCACCAGAAACAAGTAGACCATGGTGATGTGGAGACCAAGCAAGCGCTTTTACTGCAGCGTTATGTTCCGTATACACCTCAAAGAATGCACAATCCAGCTTCACGAAAATCAAATCTGGGACATTGGAGTAATCGAGCTCTACACTGATGTCACGGGATTTGACATCAAATTAATATAGAACTAAGTTACACTTAACCAACTGAACAGCATTTTTCGATAATTATACTTAAAAGTGCAAAAAAAAAATACTATTACCAATAAACTACATCGATACCAGACGATACTTTATTTCTAAGCAAAATAATCATAATAATCCGTTTACTCATTTTGCTACGATTATATTTCCTCTGCATTTACATTTAACCCACAAAAAACATATTGCAGCTAAAAAATTAAATCTACTTGAAACGGGTCATTTCTCCTCAAGCTCCATACTAAAACTTGGTTATCGTTACCACCAGAAGCCAAATACTGTCTGTCTGGAGACCACTTCAAACCACATACCTGAACAGACAAATCAAAGCAGGTGTAAGAAAACTGAAAACTGAAAAAACGACTAAATTTCATATTTAATACTTCTTGCCGATGAGCGTTAAGTCTTCGTTCTGCACATTGCGCAGGCAGCCGAATATCTCTTTGTATAATGAAACGATCTCTGGAGCCTGAACAAATTAAATCAGAGTTCCAAGCTAAGCAACCAATCCTTGAGGAATGCCCGGTAAGCTCGTGGATCTGTAACATACGATAACTTCAAAAGTGGAAAAATTGCTTATGAGCTAACAATAAACAAGAATGAATATAGATAGGAGACCTTTTTTTGACCATGAACATCCCAAATTTGAGTAATGCCTTTGTTGGTTCCAACAGCCAATAAATCTCCCTTGTCAGCCCATTGAACAGATGTGACACTATCGCTGTCTGTGGCAAGATCACACAGTTTTACAACCTTAAAATTGATACTTGAAGGGTTAACAGTGCTGATTGTTAATTTGATCACAAAAATGAAAGCTACTAGCAAAAGGATATAATTTTATATTTTGATACATTCGATACTTCTAATATTACAACTTATCAGTAATTATCGAAAATCCACACAACAAACATTCTTACCAACAATTAGGTAAATATAAATAAATACCTGGCTGTTACATGCGCTCCAAAGATACACACAAGTATGTAATCCAACCGATAACATATTTTGTGATGACCAGTCAACTAAATCCAGATAAAAATCATCTTGCAATTCAGGTGCATCCAAAACCTGAATGAACCAAGAAGAAAATAATTTTAACGTGACTATCACAAATCGTGAGGTTGAAAACATGCAATACAAGAAATAATTGTGAGCAATCAAAAACTATAACTCACTTTATATGGATTTTTGGGTACTTTACGCTGCGGTTTACGAGGTGATTTTAGAAGACGCTGACTGCCTTCACTTAACGGTGGCCCGCCCAATAAGAAACGAGAAGCATGACTTGTCGACGCATCTCCATACTTAGTGGGGGTTCTCTGCCCGAATCTGAACAAACCACAACCAGGACTATCGCGGAGACGACCAGTATCGTAACCGTCAAGATCCGTCTAAAAGGTTTTTAAAAACCTTATGTCAGCGAGTAAATTTTCGATACAACTTAATTTTGATCCGTTATAGAACGAGCATCTACTACATAGTCAACAGGCAATGAACGATGATCTTGTTCACACTGTGGTGGGAAAAATGAGTAAAAACCCTGATGTCATCAATATTATCGCTCAAAAGTTCGTTTCTCAATAATGCTCGATGAGCTGCGGAATCTAAGCGTGAATCATCAGCAACATTAGTTGTTGGACCCATTTGAGAGTTAGCTGAACTTCCATTGTTGTTAGGGGTTGTCGTCGTTGCTCCTTGCGGTCTTTTATGGCAATTAGGTGCATCCGGCGATGATGTTGCAATTGCAGCAAATCTAAAAAACAGTGCACAACTTTGACATTTGAAGCTAATAAATAATCTCAATCAAACATCCCATTTGATTTTCAAGCATTATTGATGGCAATAGCTCATTCGCTCATTTTATTATGGTAATCCCAAAATGGTGCTGGCTGCTTTAAAAATCAGTATTTATCGAGAAAACCAGTACACGACAAACAGTTTAATTACGAGGTGATACCATATTTTCCAGCATGAATTGATAGAAACTTATGCTTCTCTCTCAAAATTAAAAAAATAGTCACCTTACTGACCACTCGGCATTAGTCTGCCGAATAGGTATGTAACGATCACCGCCATCGGGGCGATATTTAGTTGGAGTCATACGATTCGCAGTCCCCTGAAGTTATGATTTTTGCAGGAAAAAATCAACAAAATGTAACACACGTTACTTGCTATTTACCTGTGGAGAGTAAGTAAACAGCAAGCAAATTTGACAGAATTAAAACTTGCAGAAGTATAGAACAATCTGCAACTTGACATACTAGAGATATACCATGCATTGTAACACTGATAATATGTGGTTGGGCAATGATCTTTTGTTCGGTTTTCATGCTTCTGCATAGCCAAAATATTCAAAAGACGGAATTTACAGCAGCAGAAATGCATGAAAGAAGTGAAAATTACTTGAGTCTTCTGAGGGGAAGTTCCTGGATTGTGTTGAGCCAAAAACTTCCGTTCATATTCGTTCGATGGAAACATCCCAACGCCAATTCTGGCTACAAAATCAACTCACTACAACTTCAAATTTTATACACTTCATACACTAACAGAATTCTAAGACTTTCATAAATTTAAAAAACCAAAAAACAAAATAATTGTACACAGCATACATTCAATGAAACTATTTAGCGCATAATCAGTCAATATTTAGGTCTCGGCATACACAATTTTATGATATACTTTTAGAATTAAAGACTACTAATACAGCACTATATTTTTCAAAATTATTGCAAAGTTAAATCATGGCTGTTGGGAGCTGTAGAAGTGAGTTATTGGTCTGTCATAAGTAGTCAGCGTGACCTACAATAAATGGTCAGGTATGGTTGAATGAAGAATGATATTGGAAGTAGTAGGAATGGTACTGCTGGTTACTGTCAAACTCTAAATTTGATTACTTTTCCATCACTATGTAAGTGCTTTGTTGAAGGTTATTAAAAATTGCTAAAACTGCAAACAATTGACATGGCATCTGCTCACCTGTGTGTTGTACGTAACGTCCGACGAAGGAAACATGTGGTGGGGATGAAGTCTTTGGAGTTATGGATTGACAAGGTTAAAGTAAATTGGGCATGCAATATGACATGTATTACCAAAGTAAGTTGTGTTTTCAATTTTAGGCATTTAATTAAATGCAAACTTTCAATATTGAATATTGTTTCTCATATACTTACTGGAATTTTCTGTGTTAATTTGCTTAAATATTCTGTATCGTTCTGAGTCATAATATTTTTATTATAGTGCAATCAGTGCAAATTTACACTTATCCACATATTTGATTCCTGCGTTCATCCATTAAGAGCAATACTTGATTTGTATCAGGTAACAAATGTTTGATTGTTTTGAATTTTTATGTGGTGAATTTTTGGTGTAATTTGGTATATTTAAGAGATGTTTCAATTATGAATTACCGGAGCTGTCAAGTTTAGTTGGTTTTATTTTGCATCATTTCTATATATGGCTGCAGGATACTTCACGATTTGATGAAATATACAGAAAGCTGAATCTAGATATTCAGGTTGTTTTTAAGTCACTCATTCATGAGCTTTCATTATGGAGTGGTCTAAATAGGACAGCAGTAACATGGCGTAAAAGCATTAAAAGTATTTATTTAGTTAATTGAAATTTAAAATTTCCAATTTCTGTAGGATGACATCAAGAAAAAACTTATTATTATTATTACTATTATTAATCTCATCAATTTCAAATAGTTTTAATATTTACTTAATTATATCAGATTGAAGCGCTTTTTGTTGGCACACGTTATGATGTATCGCATTTGGAACTAATTGTTGATATTTTCAAGTTAAGGAATGATTTGATGGTAGATATAATTGTTTACATAGTGCAGGTTAAATTCCCATCATATTTGTAAATTCTTTTCTTTTTCGGATAGTTATGGGATTTCTACCAAAAAAAATTTTGTTTTCATTTAAAGGCGTACGAAATCAATAAAAATAGGTTTGATGAAATATTAAAATATGCGTCATTTAACCGTTAAGTCAAATTGTGAGGTTTTTTTTCTTTAATTTTTCTCGTCGCCATAATCATTGAAAATATATTTTTTAGGAGATGATAGAGACGAAGAATTATCGAAATGCAATCGTATGTCTGACAGTATTTGACATGAAATCACATTTTCCGATTTATGACGTGGTCATACCATGCATATGGCGAAATCATTTAAGTGCAGTCAGAACATTCATGAGAAATGAGAAGAGCATGCAATTAGAAGTTGCAAGATATTTCGATGGTTTGATCTGCCCTGATGAATTTTGTGATGGTATTAATTCATAATTTCATGATTATGAAGGGTTTAGCTTTCTAGACGTCTAAAGGTCACTGAATGTTTCTTGTTGTGAAAAGGTTGCAAAAACAAAGTATTTTTTGTTTTTGAATACAAGGTCACTTGAAGCGATTATTAAGTCTAAATATAAATTTAGCAGTTGACGAACATAATTATTGTCTTCGTGAGGTCGATATCAGCAAGAATCCGGCTTTGAAATTTAAAGGAAAAAAAATGGAAAAGCTTGTTTCCAGACTCGTAGATCTAAATAATTTATCATTCTATATAGTCCCAAATTTTACTCGCTGCAGACGACAAGATGCGCTTAAGCATATAGCTTTTTTGTATTTCAATGAGCAGCGTGTTAGTGAAGAGGGATACTTTGATTATGTTGCCGTAAGTTTAACTATTTGTTTATTTAAAGTCTGCATTTACCGATGAGTAATTGGCAGTTATTGATTGTGACACTAATTTCCACCTTAATGTGTTTAACTTTGTTAGTAAAAATCATAGTATTGCTATTTGTAGCAAATTTTTGCATAATATTTTAGCATCAGCCAACTTTATTAATTTCTAATCAGACATTTGTGTCATTACGTTACCTATATCTTTACAACAGGTAGTCTCTTCTTTGTTTCTTTTCTCTTCTGAAGTCACAAAATTAATTTGCAATGTTGCAGCATGCTTTACAGTCCGACACCGAACTACAGGAATTTTATGTCACTTTCCTCTACCGTAAGGGAAGATTAAATGATGCAATTCGATGGGTCGTTCACTTTGGTTTGATAAAGTGCATGCCAGGGAATTTAACATTACATATGACCTCTAATGCAATTACTGAAGCTCGAGTTGATTTGGCAAGGTACTAGTATGGTTTATAACTTAATAAGTTCCAGTTTTTTTGAAAAATTTCAAGCTAATTTCTGTGCGAGATTGCCATGTCGTTTAAAAAAATTGTTGGATACATATTAAAATTTTTTGAAATCTCAAGTTTCTAAAGGGCTTTTTTATGTAGGCTGATTATTGGGAGGGCAGATATAACAAATGTAGAGCTATTTCCTGGCTGTCCAATCACAGTCATAGCACATGCTAAGCAGTTGAACAAGTTATGTCCAATTATTGAACAAGCTGATTTAATTGGAATCGATTCTGAATGGAAGCCACTGTTTATGTGTTCATATGAAAAAGTAATTATTACAGATTTCTAGGATTTTTTAATTGCAATTATGATCTAAGAAAATGTGCAAATATTTGGAAAAAAGAAAAAGGTATATTTATATTTTTTGAAAAGGAAGGATAGCCTATGAATATTTATTGTTGGATTGGAGTTTCTCTCTGTTTTCACGTCTAAAATGTTTAAGGTGGCTCTTATTCAAGTTTGTCTCCGGAATTCATGTTATTTGATAGATGTTATCACTTTGGAGAAGGAACTCACTGAGTGGGAGTGGGCCAAATTTTTCAGAGTTTTGTTCTGTGACAGCAAAGCAATAAAGATAGGTTAGTGAGTTTGTTTGTCACTTTTGAGTGTTTTTAGTCGTTTTCTTAGGAGTTCTTGTCTTGTGCAACACAGCACTTTTTAATAATGGGGATGACTCATACCTCTTTTCGTCCTATGAAATTTCTTTTTAACAACAATAAAAACCAAGTATACTTTTCAGGGTTCGATTTTGTAAATGATATGAGAGCTCTAAGGACTTCGTTTCCGTACTTGCAACCCTTAAAAGAGATGAAAAACGTTATTTGCATAGTGAAACTGCTCAATAGCGTATGTTTTTAGACATCTTAAGTTCATTTTATGTTACAGCTTCAAGTATTTATGTCAGAGCATAGATTTCAGCTTTTGGCTGCAGAACCAAGATTTTTGGATTCGATTCATGCGGGTATATCTTCCACTCCATTCTATAATTTTGTTTTGTTCATTTGAATTTTGTTGAATATAACCTTTATCTTCCCATAGCATCAAGTAAAATCTGCGGTACTGCCAACGATTATTGAATGCGAAGTAGAAAATCAGAAAAAATCGTTTCAGTTAGATCTTCTGAATCAGATGTAAAGAGCTCTATGTTTTATACATCATTTTGTGATGAAAAAAGGCATTTTCGACTCAGTGATTTATGTAATGAAATACTTGGCACGCCTCTTAATAAAAAAGAGCAGGTTATGAATTTTTTGATCAAACTCGTCTGTTTTTCTTACTGTTCAGAATTGAAAAATAAATGCGCGTTGTCGAGTTAATAAATGATATTGAAGCTAGGAAACTGGGCTATGCGTCCTCTTCGACGCGACCAAATGCTGTATGCGGCAATGGATGGCTACTGTTTGCTAAGACTTTATGATAAGATCAAGACAAAAGCTCAAAAGTAAGGAAAAATTTCAAAAATTATTCTTGACGTGCCTCAATTTTTTTGCTGGTAAATTCAAGAACAAAAGTTTCAGATTAAGGAATATAAAGTGGACTAGACATTACCGTGAAGCAGATTGCACGCTCATGGTACCTAAGGAATATGTAAATGCAAAAAAGGAAAGAACTAGAGTTGATGATGCAGAATTTAAGAAAATGATTGAAGTTTTATTTTAGACTCCATTTACTGAGAATATTTTCCCATCTGTTTTTGGATTTCCAAGAATTCTATTTACTAAATGAATAAGATGACTTTGTGGCTATGTTATTCTTTATACATTTCTTTTTGTCTTTCAGCGTTTAAATACTGATCTTGGTAGTTCAAAGTTAAAGAGGAGACCAAAAGATTTGAAAGTGGTAGTGGATGCGATGATGTACACTCTAGGAAAAAATTTAAGAAGGTTGTAGATTAATCTCTCAATTACGTATGAAAGTAAGAAATACATAAACATGAAAATATGATTGGGTTCTAGATGCGGTATTGATACAGTCTTTGCGACCAAGCAAAGTGATTTAGTGGAATGGACACAAAATGATCCAGAAAGATATGCATTGACTTGCTGGCAGCCTGAGTTTGATGTAAGTTTTTTTTTCGCCTAATCATTCTGGTTAACCTAATTTGTGATATATTCTATATTTTGGTAGGAATCTTAACGCTCTATCAAATTTTCGATACAGCAAAGCTTTGAAACTGAAGTTGACTTCAGATAATAATTGTTTCATGTTTAACTAGCACGCTGTGCACGCTACATTCTGTATAATTTGCTAAGGTATTAAAATACAAATATTTGAAAAGCATTAATTGAATACAAAAACTTGAATAGATTTTTATTTACATTTGTACTTTATTTTAACTTGATGGTTTCGGCACTCTGATTTCAAAGTAATTGAAAAAAATATAGCCAGACAAAATTGGATTCGGAAGAAACGTGTTGCCATTACCGTGCACTCTAGGAGCAAACGTGATTGGAGAACTTGAATATGTTTTGAAATGGTTATATGTAGTATTATCGGAGGAAGATCTTTATTCGCGCTGCATGGTAAGTTCGTCATTTCTATGTGATAAAAGTTTGGGAGTACTATTTTAAAACAATAACCCTTTATTTTGAAATCGAATGTCGCTATTCTTTTTATTATGGCATCTGGTGTCTAGTAGCTTTTGTTGCATGATTGAATTGTTGTTGATGTGCTCAATAAAGTTATTTCTTTTCAGCAATGTAATGCGAATTGTTTAGTAATTGCTCCGTCTCCGGTGCTAGAAGCAATGTATCAGACACATATTGCCCCACCAAATTTCTCATATGATAGAATTTGTCATGCTTCGGACTACTCAGAAATTGAAAATGTGGAAACTTTCTTTCTTACACAAGCAGTCTTATCATTTGAGCTGTCGATGTGATTTAGCTTTCATAAGCTTTAATATTTAGATCGATCCGAAATTATACTTTGGTTATGGATGCAAACTGGAAGTTAATGAGATCGAAAGGGAGGTTCTAGTACACTGCCACAACGGTTCTTTAGACATCGAGTTAGTGCATTCTTCTTGAGTTCAGTCTCCGTTCTATATTTTGCGAGCATTTAATATTAGCTGAATTGCAGAAATTGTCTAGTGTCTTGTAACCGCTCTGTTTTGCCAGTTCTAGTTAAAATAAGTGAGGTTCCTTTCGAAATTCTGAGTAAACGAGGCAGGTAAATATTTAAATTCCCGTTTTTTATTTCTAATTGTGTTTATATTCTTGAAGAAACGAGACAAGTATATATATATAAAATGAAGTTTTTTTCCTTTTTTTATGAATTTGCGTTTGAGAGATCTGCATAAATTTGAATTTCACAATATCAGATTGAACCGAGGTGGATATTTTAATAACTAATTTATGAGTTCTACATTTCAGTTGATTAATATTTCAGAATCTTTTACGTATGTGGTGTATGCGGGCACACTTTTGGGTAGAAATGATGAATTGTCATCACATTAATTCCCTTTAGCGCCGTTTATCTCATTATTAACGCGTTATGAATATTGCATTTAATACAATTCAGTTAATGCAAATTAAATGTTGTTAAGTTGTAAAATTAGAAATTTATTGCCGTCCGGAATTTTTTAATTGATTTTTGATTGATATCAAGCTCATATATAATAAGATGATATGAGTTGGAATGCGGATTGTTGAATGAATATATTTGTTGTTATCTACATTTTTTGAATTCCATAACTTTTGTTGATTGCAGTGCTTTACCGTATATTATCAGGGAATGTCTGTTTGTTATTTAATAAATAAGTGTTAAAACAATCTTAATTGCAGCAAAGAGAGCGAATGGTTTGTTTCACAAACAAGTTAAGCTCATTTTGGCTGAGCACGAGGTTTTTTTTTATGAAAAAGGAGCTATTGGAAGTCGGTAGTGGTGTAGTCTTGCCCCACTAATTGACATAAATTATGGAAGAAATTATGCATAGAGTTGGTTTAGTGTAACTGGGATATGAAGACAAAAGCAGGAGTAGATTTGGTGTTGTGGTGCGTGTATAAAAGTGTTTTGAATGCCAAGGATGTCATTGTTGATAGATTTTACCAAGTTGAGGGGTTGTAAGCACGTTCGTAAATCTGGGAGCGGAATACCCAGCTAATACGTTGGGGTGTGAAAGTGGACGAGGGAGCGCTGGAAGGGATTACGTATTTTCGTCATATTTTCCGTTAGGATGTCAGACATTCAGTGAGTGTTTACTTTGTAATTAATTACTTTTATGAGAAAAAATATGAGTAACGAAGTAAAGAAACAATCTTTTGGTTATAGTAAAGTGTTTTTTGTTGTAATTCATACTTGAAAATTTATCCATAAAATTGTTCAGTGTGAGTCAGTCGTTGGAAGAAGTGACATGATTTCTCTGTGACGTGATTTCTCTTCAAGAGCGTCTGACTGCTTTCACTTCTTAATTAATACAAAAAACTGTCAGGTCGCAAGCCCTTTATGATCTTCATTTAATGAGCAATGGAATGGGTAATGATCTATTCGAAAAAGCTCTTTTTTCTGCCTCTGCTGGTCTAGCACTACCAAATGGAGACAAAAATTCAGGCAGTAACAGCGTAGCTGGGAGTATTGGTAGTGAAAGCAAAAGTTGCTATTCCACCAAGGATAAAGCATGTGGTGCTGGTGGTAAGGTCCGATACAACTCATTTATGCCATGACCTCTATTTTCTAACTACTATTGTTGCAAAAACAATTTGCAATAAATCAATATTCAGTTCAACAACAACAACTTTATTTACAAAAAATGAATGTACACTGTCATGAATATTCAAATTTTATATCGTAACTTATTATTTTAATTGGTCCATTGACTTGCACATAAACTGTATCCAATAAATACTACTTAATGTTATTTGGCAGTCATGACAGATACATCCCATTTCTACTGAGTGTACGTATTTACGTGTTGCAGTTGATTTGTTGCACAAGCGAATGCATAAAATTAAGTTACATTGCGTTTTATCATAAGCCAAACACAATAATGACAGTTACACGACTGATGGATCCAATAGATAGATAGCTGGTTGGATAGATGAGTAGAATGATTGACAGACAGTTGGATAAGTATGTGATTAAAATGCATGAAAATTACTTCTTCACCACTTTTGTTACAGAAAAATAACCATTTTACTTCGTAGGACAGAATAGAAGGTAACGATGATGACAACGAGTCAGGATGGGATTTCTGGAGTCGAGTATATGCTGATCCCACTTTAAGATCGCAAATGACTGATCGCTTCCAGGTTCACCAGTTATACGTATAAATTCTAAAATACACATGAAATAATAATTATTACTATTGCTATTGTATTAGTACCAGTACAATTATTATTGACAAGTTCAGACATAAAAATACCAATATCTGCTAATAATCGTAATAAATAATAATAAATCAAATCAATGTTACACGGAGGTATTCTTCTTTTCTTCACTATTGATTCTGGCGCTGGATCGTATTCTATTCTGGAATTCTTGCTGTACTTGCCTCGCGCTCAGTTTTGCTATGCTGATCTACGCTGCTTCGTCCTCGTCGAATCCACGGCGCTGATCGAATGAGATGCTTTCGAGCGTGTTCTTGAGCACTATCGACTGGATATATGCCTCGACGTGATTTTCGTGTAACGCTTATGAAGGTTTGTCACTACT